AGGTACATTAGCTAGTTATAGGTTTCAGGAAAAATTTCACCCACCAAGTCATTGGTTCTATTTTATATTTGTAAACAGAATTGAGATATACCCTGCTAGGATAGTGGCAATATTTCTTTCGTAATAAAAATATATGAATAGAATGCAGAGAGATATCTTGCAAAAGGAATATCTCCCACCAGGTCATTGGTTCTAGTTTATATAAACAAAATCCAGATATACCCTGTAACGATAGTGGCAATATTTCTTTTGTAATAAAAATATGAACAGAATCCAGGCCACGTAATTTTCAAAACGATCTTAGCACCAGGATGTCCTGGAAACAATGTTAGAAGTTAAGACCCTAAGACATCCTAGCGCTAAGATCGGTTCGAGAATACACAACCAGAGGTGTCTTGCAAGGAACATTCAGTCCATAAACTTATCAGTCCTCCTTCAATAGATATCCTGATGCTATGCAAAGAACATTAAGCCCATAGGAACAGAATCCAAATACAAATATATACCCTGCAACTATAGTAACAATATATTTATTCTATAATGGAAAAAGAGTGTATTAATAACTATATATATGACAGTTATTGTCATAATAAATATTGATATTACTAATGGTCTGTATTGTATGATACTAGACAAAATATTGATAATTTACTATCTATTCATACTTTGTTTGCTAAATGTGGAATGTGGCATGTTAATTCTTTCAACAACACAAGCGAAAATGAATCAAATGAAGGTCCAATTGTAACTAACTATATCAGCAGAGTTGAGGAACTGCAGGGAATGTATGAGAGTGAAAATAAAAAAAAGATCCATCTGCAAAACGAAACTCGAAAAACATCTGCCGTACCATTAAAGGTATTATGGGATATGTGAATGAAAGTGAGACCCTCTGTTAAAGCCTACAGCCTAATTCTTTCCCATTAGGAAAATAACATGTATTTCCCTCAGTAAATCATTTTTTTTGTGAATGTTCTTTTTGGGTTATGGATTAAGGTGCCAATTTGACTAATATCAGCATTGAAAGTACCTCTTTGAATCAAAGGAGCTACTAGTGGAACTGAAGGACATGAAGCCATGCACTATAGAGTAGGATATTTCATGTTTAGTCACACGAATAACAATGACAAATGTCAATCGCCTTTGAAAGGGCCTGAAACCCTAGAAAGAAAGAAACCTGTCAACTATCATTAAGAAAGATGATCTATATTCATCTTCAGCTTTTCATCTTTATTTATTCTTATATTATTTAATCTTATATTATTGTATCATTATATCCCCATGTCAACCAATAACAACTCTCAGACAGCAATTATGAAACTGGTTGACAGGAAATGACCATTTATTGTTCAATATTGAAGGTTATAAAGAGACAGGAAGCAGTCCTTTGTCACTTGAATGAATACAGTGGTCATTTTGTATCTATACATTATAGTCTTGGAATAATTAATACATCTTCACAATGCCAAGCTATTACAAACATTGTCTTATACCCTGACTGCAATAGCCACCATGGTGTCAGGGACGATTGTAAAAGCAGCCAATGGGTGGATTGTATGTTAGCGAATACAGCCAATCAAAGTTCTTGACAGAAAGTCTGTAAACAATAGGCCATTTTGTATACAGTTTTATTGTTGAGGACTCTGATTGGCTGAATTTGTTGACATACAATCTAATCAAATTGCTGCATTCCGTAATACAAGAAAGGTGGCCATTACAGTAAAGGTATAAGACGAAGTTTGTAATAGCTTGATATTGTGAAGATGTAATTAATAAAGCATTAACCCTTCCCTGTCACATCATCTATTAACCCTTTACGCTTCATTAAATAATTATGATGATCAGTCAAGCAGATATATTTCAGAAGAAGCAAGTCATCTGTTAAAATTACCAGCAGCTGATTTTTGTTGAGCTATTTGTGTTAGAGTCCAAAAGCTTCATGTGAGCTTCACTTACTCTAGAGATCCGAACTGCAAAACAAACCCAAAACAATGGTAGCAGGTAACTTTTCAAAAGTGAGTATTTAATATATGAACTTGCAGTAGTATATTACAAGTGAGGCAGTGGCTGCTTACTCCAATATACTTGATTCCAATGGATTTAAGGAGTTGTTGAAAAGCGAATCATGAGACAAATGGCAATGGTAAGCAACTGAGCTATTGCCATTTTTAATGGATTCATATTTGAAGTTCACTTGAACCTAAACGTGCAGGCACACAAGCGGTCTTGATCGGAGATTTTTGTCTCTAACTTGAATCTTGAGTGTGCCCGTGCTTCCACCACAAGATTATTGTGGCGCTGACATGATTTATAATATCAAACAAGTTTGATACTTGTCTCCGATAGTTTTCTCGAATGAAAGACAGACCGTCATCATCCAATCAGATTCCTTTTCCTTTCAATTGCATGCTCTGCATGTGATAATCGACAAGGTGGAAAACGACCGACTGGAGATTTTTGTCTCCTTGTTAACTCAGGACTCTAATCGGCGACAAAAGTCTCCGACCAAGACCGCGCGTGTGCCGGCACCTTAAATAATATCTGACCACCATCAGACATAATTTTGTTTATATACCATAAAAGCTGATAGTGTTAAAGTGTTTCAGCCTCATTGACCCCGCAGACCAATAATTCTTTCATCAATTCCATGATTAACACTTTATTGTCCGGTCACCATGGTATACTTTGGCCATCATGCAATCTCCACATGCCAAATATTGATTGATAGAACATGGAAACATCTGTATATACTAATTCAGGATACAGAAATCTCTGCAGATAAGACTCATGGGAATAAACTTGATCATCTACGACCAATTTGGTTTTGTTTTGTTGATCTTACTTACAATCTGGTTAAGAGGCTGAAACTTTATAATTCCAGTGGATCCTGTCCGAAAAAAAAAGGCCTGATATAATTTAGAAAACTGAATAAGTGCTACCAATCAGAAAAAGACAACTTGAGTTTGTAAAATGACTTTGCAGAACTGCATCAAAAAGATTCAGACAGGGGTATCTCTCTATCTCCCCTACCTTTGGGTTAGTAACCAGAGCCAGTTAATACCTTGGCACAAAGAAGAAAAGAATTTATGAGAAAATCAGGACGGGAACAGAATAAGATTTACTGCCACAATATTTCATTGTTTTTATCTGTAATCACTGTTCACTGGCAAGCTTCTAATTAACTTTCAATCAAATTTCAAAGTTTCTCTTTGATGGCAAGCGTACAAAAGACAACATGATAGACTAGTAAGTGTCAAGGTTGGGCATTCTAAAAAATATAACGATCAATTTTTTAGTAAGTATGGCTTTTTTTAATGTAGAATTTCACGTGGCATTGTGGAATGAGACCTATTATCGTGGAGAAAATACGGTTTCCTTTTATTCTTTTAAAATTTCAAATATATAAGTTAAAAACATATTTTCTCAATTTAAGGTTCAGACTGTGAGACCAATGAAATAAAGAAACTGGTTATCAAATCTTGACATTTTTCTTTTTAAAAATCAATAAACATCAGACTAATGTAATTCTTGATGAAATGTTCAAATACAATCAAACTTTTGTGTTTTTTTAATCTAGAGAGTTCGGGTTGCCAGACGTCATTAGGGGATTAGTTTGGACGTGTTCACACCCCATAATTACCTTAAGAGATTTGACGGGAATAAATAAATATTTGAAATAATTTGACCTGAAATGACTTTAGATCTGTTGATTGGCTAAAAAAAAACAAAAATGTCAGCATAGCAGGTTCAATGTCAAAACTCCTTATTATTGATGGTAAATTTTCGTCATGCTAAACCTGCAACCAGTGTATTGCTGAATCATCCCATTCAGTCCCTCAGACCCGAATTTAGCAACATAGGGGAAAGGAGCATTAAATGTCTATTAACTTTTACAAAGCAAAACAAATGCACTAAAACAATGCACTAAAAAAATACACGCAGGTCTTCTCCATGCCCTTAGAATAGACTTTCCAAAATTGATGAAGATTTACATCAAATCTTCTGGTAAAATTAAATGAATGGACTCCTATTCTTATACACTTAATTGGGCTAATGAAGACACCATGCAGTGTGCAATGAAGGTAATTTTGCCAGGACAGTGGAATAAGCCTTTTTTTGATTTCCAACTGTTGAGGGGTCTTTACAGCGCAAAGTCTGTCGCACATGAGGCCTTGGTTTATTGTTCTACCCAAACAACCTGGCCACATATTCTCGAAATGATGTTAGGATGTCCTAGGTTCTTATCTTCTAACGTTGATTCTAGGACATCATAGAGCTAAGCTTGTTTCGAGAATACGTGGCCATCACTGACACGGGAAAACTGGAAAGATTAAGGTCTTATTTCCACCTATGCCAGGACGAATCCTAGACCTTCAGGTTAGCAAGCAAGTGTCTGACTTAGCCATTGCAGCTTCTAAATCTTCTGGTGAACATGGCTGGCTACATTAGAGACACACATCACAGTAATCATAACAGTGGAGAATGAATTCAATAGCAGTGTATTGACAGAGCTCTCATAATAAGAATTTAATTGGATGTCGCTTGACAAAAAGATGAAGAAAGAACTTTTTGTATTGATTATTGTCACCGGAAAAATTTCATCTCCCTAGACGGGCAGGAAATAAAAGGAACAAATTACAATCAATAAACCAAGTATATTTACTCACTTAAACAACTCAACTTTCTATGGACAATCTGAATTAAAAATAGTTGTCAATCCACTTCAGATTATAAGTGTTAAAATTGTATAATCTCAGCTTAAGTTTTTGTTCAAATTTTCTTAGTAGGGTAAACTTTTGTTTAACCCATTTATAGGTTTTGTTTAAGAACTTTTTTTATTTTGTATTTCCGTGGCTTTGTTTTACCTATTTCCATGTTTTGTTTAACCTATTTCCAGGTTTTGTTAAAACTATTTCCAAGTTTTGTTTAACCTATTTCCAAGTTTTGTTTTAACTATTTCCAACTTTTGTTTAACCTATTTCCAGGTTTTGTTTTAACTATTTCCAAGTTTTGTTTTAAATATTTCCAAGTTTTGTTTAAACTATTTCCAAGTTTTGTTTAACCTATTTCCAAGTTTTGTTTTAAATATTTCCAACTTTTGTTTAAACTATTTCCAACTATTGTTTAACCTATTTCCAGGTTTTGTTTTAACTATTTCCAGGTTTTGTTTGAACTATTTCCAACTTTTGTTTCACCTATTTCCAGGTTTTGTTAAAACTTTTCTTCAACTGAAGTTTTGTTTTACCTATTTCTAGGTTTTGTATAATATGGTATATTCTAGGCTTTGTTTTACCTATTTCTAGATTTTTGTTTTGTTTTCACTATTTCTAGGTTTAACAGCTACTATAAAAGACTATGGTATTCGCTACAATACCATGAGTATATACCAGTACAGTATTATTGGAAATACCATTTATCACCAACTAATAAAAATAATAGAGATTTAACAACATAAACATGTTGAGGCACAGATTCAGGATATTGGAAATTTCTCATTATATATATTAGAATCAATAATCAATAGGAGATGACTGAATTGTCTGTTTATTGATTATGAATTTTGATTTAAATCTGGTCTTTGTTCATGTAGAAACATATTCACGAGGGCGTCTGTAATCATTATTATGCTCTGATGGACAAGTGTATAGTAATCAACAACAGTTGCTACTTCCTTTTGTCCACTATTTGTATCCCCAGTCATGGGAAGCTTGTAGCAACTGTCACAAGGGCATCTGTATGCAACCTAATGATTATTATGCTCTGATGGACATGTGTATAGTAATCAGAAATGAAATGAAATGAATGGAATTTTACGTCCTACTTGTATAGTAATCAGAAACAGGTGCTACATCATATTCAGTGTCAAACGCCCTTATAAACTGACTTCTTTGAAAAACCAACAAGTCTGCAACATGTTCAAAAGATCATTCCAAAATATAAGTACTGTCCAAATCAACAATACTCTGATTTAGTTGATAAAAGCTCATCTCTGCTGCTGACATGTTTCGGATATAATGACCTTATCAGGCCATCTAGCTTATGTGTAAAAGCAATGCCGTATCTAGAAAGTATCTGAGGCCCATGTCCCAATGCCCCGCCCTCTAAATATGTAATACAAGATCAAAATATTTGACATGAAAACCCCAAAAAAAAATAAAATAAGTTAGATTTTTATTTTGTAATTATGAAACTTTCTGTTTATTCCTGAATATCTAGGTTATAAAATCAAAAACACCGTAGATCTTGTAACTTCAGGTTGAAACAAGTTCAGTCGTTCTGTCATTTCCTTAAAACATGAACACTAACATAGAAACAATAAAACAAACTTGTAGGAAAGACGCCATAAATGTTTTATAAAAACGACAATCTATAAAGCTAAACAATATAATTCAACTGTGCAAGCATTTAGATCTTGACCATTCAAGTGAGAACATTTCCTTTTATTTCCCACAATACAAGATATCAATTTCTCTTCTGTAAGAGTTTATTAAGGGCAGAAATAATTATCTAATGAATACGCCTCTGCTTCAACAACCTTACCATTGATAAAAACAACCCATGTGTTATTTTTTGTGCACATGGCAAGAAGTGGAATTTTCAATGAGCATCAATTTAATGAAATGAATGCAACCTTATGTCCTTTAACTGTGAAGATGGATGCAGTGTACAATAAAGGAAATTTTCCAGAACCTACTCTTCTTCTGGTCTTATTTGGATCAATGAAGTTTTGCAATGTCACACAGAGGTTGAAGTTATCTTTCCCGAGAGACAGCATTAACCCTATTTTTACATTTATTGACTTTTGTATGGATCCTCCAAATACACAGGCTGAAGCACATGATGTATTGGTGTAGCGCCTGCATGAATCAATGCTCTTTTCCATGTCAATCTTTCTGAACAGACGGAAACCAGGTTTAAAAATCCAAAGTTATTATTTTGACCAATGTGAGAATTTTCCAAATTTCCTAGCAAGCCTTTTGAAACCCCTCTGCATGACAATGATATTTCCAGGCGGTCTTGAAAAAAAAAGTTTCCAAAGTTTGAGAAGCAAAAAAACTCAGAAACGAAAAGATGCAGAGTTCGTGACTTTTGACTACTGATAAAATTGATCATGGTTTACAAGCCTCGAAGGTTTGGATTACGTCCAAAAAATCTCTTTAATTTGATTCTTTATCAAATTTGATGTCTAGAACTTGAGTTTATTTTTACTTAGTCTTCTACAAGTCTCTTACGATCTCCATTGTTTTGCCCAATCCACTAGAAACAGTGGTTTAAAAGCTTAACCTACAGGAATTAAGTACATTGAAATCTGACATGTTTGAATATTGATTTCTCAGTTGTGAGTTTATCTTGTAGCTCTACTAGAAACACGTAGCTTGAGATTCCTCCACATCTTTCAACTGATGGTTTCATTTTTTACTTTAATCCACCAGATCTTAGTTTGAATCAAACATTTACTTAAAGGGATTCTACCTCGTAGAATGTATAAAAAATTTCAAACTGGGTTAATAAGTATATATATTCATCAGTTGAACTTGCTTGACTAAAGAATAGAATCTCTATAAGACGATATATCCATTATAGTAAATATCTATATCAAAATTACTTGGTTTCAAGAATTAGTTGGATTTACTGCGATTCTGTTGTAATGTTATGACACCAGATAGGTCAATTGATGAACAAAGACTCATTTAAACCAAATTTAAATATTTCAAGTTTTTGGACATCCTAAGAGGTAGTATTCCTTTAAATCATCAGAAATTTATTATAAATAATCTTTAGATAATTATTATGGATTTTTTTGTATTAAATGGAAGATTATGAAAAGGTATTCTGTGCCTTATTAAGCTATTTGGGGTTAAAGATCTTCTACCAAGCAAAACAGAGATCTTATAATTCCTGTTTTATAAAGGTGTGTGCAATAAGTGGTCTTGGTTGGAGATTTTGGGCACATGACACAAAAATCTCTGATCGGTCATTTTCTACCTTGCTTCACACGTAATTGATAGGAAAATGTATCTGATTGGATGATGTCTGTCATACAGGTGATAAAACTATCGGAGACAATTATCAAACTTGTTTGATATTATAAATCCTGTCGGGGACATGGTAATCTTTACTCAAGACTCTAATCACCGTTAAAAATCTCTGACCATTACCAGTCGTGTGCTGGACACAACGTATTATAGTCTCACTCATTTGTCCAGTTTGAAATCAAAGTTCAGGCAATTACCTGCTTATTATAGTGAAATTGTCTGATATCATATTCTAATATGGCTGCTTTTTCCCTTCCCTTATTGCATAACATACTTTTTTTTATCAAAAATCATGTGGGCTAGTAAAGACTGTGTCATGACGTAGTGAAGACAATTTTGCCAAGATAGTAGCACTGGTCTTAAGACCTACCACTCACTTAACTGGTAGAAAAGTAAAAGAGACTTTAAGAAATAATTTGAGCTAAGTATTCTCTAAAATAACTTTATTAATGCACAGCTGGACATGGCTGGCAAAAAGGACCTAATCAACATCCCTGCCAGATTAATTTGAAAAAGAAATAAATCTACCTAATGACTTCCGTGTTAAGAACATTAATGACAAGAAAAAATTCCAAGACATAAATTATTTATGACTTTTATAGAATGAATCCTTGGAGGGATAAAATTTCTGATACACGAAAACAGATCTACCTTAGTTTAAAGCAGTGGTCAAATTTTTAATATCTACACAGGAGCTATATATTGGCCAATACATGAAAACTATTTAAAGATGGGTTCCCTTATTTTCATTTATGAAAATGAAAATGCTAATACTTATATGAATAGAAAGTAGAGGTGTTCGAATAACTTGGAAAAATACCAGTTTGTCTCACATGTCTATAATTAATTCATAATTAGCTAAATTAGATGAGAATTATCAGCAGAATTCCAATGTGTGACCTATCCAGAAAGGTCAAAAAGTCTTTTTTGTCCATCAAGACTGTACTAACATGCACATTTATGATTGGTTAAAACTTATATTACAAGATTTATCTTATGCAATAAGAACATAATGATATGATTAAGAATACATGATAATTCATTAGAAACACCAATAATCAAATAGTTTGCTTAATTTGACACTAAAAAACAAGGAAACCCATCTTTAAGGAACTTCTCCAGTAATTGCATACATTTAAAAAATGGATATAGTTTTTCAAATTTTCCTCCCAAAGACTAAGTAAGTCTCAATTAAGTTCACCATAATCCAGTTAAGATAATTGTTATCATGAAAAATATTTCAAGGAACTTTTTTCAGTAATTGCATACATACACAGCAAAAGGATTCAGTTTCTATAAATTTCTCTGCAAATAGCACGAGTCAGAACGAACTACATATTTTGGATTACAAAGTTTATTGTTTCTCAACACCTCTCTGTCACGTTCGTAAAAAAAAACAGTGAGATTTATCTCCGTGTAGTTGGTAGAAACGTCAATAAACTATCGTGTTAAAACTGTATCTAATCTCTAGGGTATTAAAGAGTTTTTTATTAGGTCGATATCAAAACTCTTGCTAATGATGATGTCAGTTTTATTGCCCGCGTTTTTTACGTATGGTCATGTGACAATACAGCTTTTACATTGCATGCTGGATAAGTCTCAACGTAAAAAATCCTGATTAAATCCTTCTTTCTGTCGTAGCTTTAAAGAGGCTTTACCAATTAGACTGTAAAAAATTGATTTGATTTACTTTCTGTAATCCTGATAAAAAATTCTCATAAACGTTTCTTGGTTATTATTTTGTTTCTCAGTTAAGACTATCACAAGCTAATGAAATTACTTGGTTTAAAAGTACCAGTATTTAGAATTAACGACATCTTCCAAATTGTCTTCAGCTTGAGATGACACCAACAAAGTTTTGCGACAATTTCCAATGAATTACAATCGCTTACTTTGCTCTGAAGTCCAACCCTTAATCTCTTTTCAAACCAGTATAACTAGTGATCACTCCTGCGTCCCCAGCATACAATAACCAACCATACTCATTTATCAACTAAACCAATTGTTGCCAGGATAAATCAACCAGACGGTCATGTTCTCATAGCGTGGATACAGAAGTCAATGAATAAAAGGCAACAATTATCTTGGTAAGATCCTATAAGTACCAGCTAGTAGTTGGAATTGTCATGAGTTAACTGATTAGGTAGTAAGGTCCTGCAGGCAAAATGTTTCATCAGTTAGTTTACGAAAGAGTGCTATAGAACACTTATGATGAACAC